ATTATCGTGATACGTTCATTTTTCTACACGTTTTCCAAATTTTTTTGCTTTATGAGGCACTAACTTTATTTCTCTACAAATGTCATTGACTCGGTCAATTTTCAACAAAAGTAATACCTCGTTAATCAGTTGTGTCATTGAACAAATTACGTCATTCAATTAGCTAATCTAACAACTAAGCACACAGTTAGTCAAGATATCGACGATGATGTACATACAACTAAATTTAGCTTGCTCTGTTAGAAATTTCTCAAGTTCAAGATAGTGGTTTATGCCTATGTAAATAGCGAATATTGGCAAAGATCCTAGTTTAGATGTACAGACAATTTATACCGTAATGAACATATAATACATTTATGTTATGTGCATATAACAGTAATGAGTTATCTTTAGACCTACAATTTTATATTATAGCGATAGATAGCCTTGCAAAGTCAAGTAAATTCATCACATTGGCAAGATAGATTGCATGCTGCATGAATAGATCAGTCCAAAAGATCTCTGTATACCACATTAAAATGTTAACGGATTGAATATTTAGTTAATAAATAATTATAATATTAAATTTAAATAGTTTTCGCATTACATGAGTAATACAGTTGTACAATAGCATTTAGAAACGTGAAATTTATTATTAATACAAAGAAGAAGCAATTCACATTTACTTGTTAGTAATTAATCTAGAAAAAAGGGGCAATATAAGAAAAATAAAATCATAAAAGTTACGTTGCATTTAATGGTAATGGTGTATGGAGACTTTAAAGACTGGCTGTAAGTAAACAAATGGTTGTTGTATCTTCCTTCTAATAAATTGCACTAAATATAAAAATAGGTAGTTGAGAAGATAGTAGTAGTTTGAATTCTTATATCCATCTTATAAATTTCCTTTTCTTCTTAATTTGATATTAAAAATAACTATTTATTCTAGCACCAGAGACCAAGATCAAGCGACGAACGCCGAAGATGTTCTCTTCGACATGTTCAAGAACGAAGATACCGGTCTTCTAGCGGTGGGAAAATTTTTGGCCGTAAGTTGTCGGTTCTTCATCTTCATTCATTTCGTTTATTAATAATTTACACACACACACACACACACACATATATTGTTTCATTCTCACACATTCGTAGGCTTTGAGAACTACCGGTCTGCGAAACGACGACCCGAGGCTTCAAGAATTCGCGGATAATCTACGAAAGGAACACTTGAAAACCGGTGGTCACGAGGGTATATCCCACGAGACGCAAAAATTAAACAGGGAACAATTTAGAAGGTAATTCTTCCGCGAGTGATCAACAGTTCGCGTTTAATTCGATTTAAAAAAAAAAAAAAAAAGAAAAAATAAAGATTCGCAAGATTCATTTTATATCGTTAAAAGAGAAAATTTCAATCTTTGCTTTGCCATGATTTATTTCACAAAACGTTTATATTGTCAATTTCGTATTATTATCGTTATAATGCATGTAATTTTGCTCGAATTGGGGAAACAAAGGAACTCGAATGAATATTTCAGAATTATAAATCCGAACATAGTGTTGATCTCGCGAGCGTTCAGGCATCAATTCATCATCCCCGACTGGTCGGGCTTCACCAAGCACATAGAGGACTTCTATTGGAAATGCAAGTCGAACTCGGAGGGCAAGGTCGCGTCGTACATACCTCAGCTGGCAAGAATGAGTCCAGATTACTGGGGCGTTTCCGTTTGCACGATCGATGGACAGAGATTCAGCATCGGCGACACCTCGATACCGTTCACTCTGCAGAGTTGCAGCAAGCCTTTGACTTACGCGATCGCATTGGACAGGCTCGGGCAGGAAGTGGTCCATCAATACGTCGGCCAAGAACCATCCGGGCGAAACTTCAACGAGCTGGTGCTAGATTACAACAGTAGGTCTTATTATTATGGATTTTCAACAGACCAATACTTTCTCAGTGACTTTCCTTTTTTTTTAAAAAATAATCTCGAATTAGATAATTTAGAAAGAAATTAATTTTTTCTTTTCATTCTTTCTTCTTTTTTATAAAATATATTTCATATCTGTATTTCTGTAAAAATACATTGAACGTACAGAAGGGAACGTTTCTTTACAGAGAAGCCTCATAATCCCATGATCAATGCTGGAGCGATCTTAGTTTGCTCCCTGCTAAAGTCGCTGATCAAGCCTGAGATGACATTGGCCGAAAAATTCGACTTCACAATGAACTATTTCAAGAAGCTAGCAGGCGGAGAGAACCTGGGCTTCAACAACGCTATCTTTTTGTCGGAGAGAGAAGCTGCTGACAGAAATTACGCGCTTGGATTCTACATGAGGGAGCACAATTGTTATCCCGATAAATCGAACCTGAAGGAAATCTTGGACTTCTATTTTCAGGTACATGCGAAAACATAAAAAAAAATATATATATATATAAATAATATTCAGAAAATATTTACATGATTTCCTTTTTAAAGTGTTGCTCGATGGAAGCGAACTGTGACACAATGTCAGTGGTGGCAGCCACTTTGGCCAACGGTGGCATTTGCCCTATCACCGAGGAAAAAGTTTTAAAGCCTGATAGCGTTCGAGACGTTCTGAGCTTAATGCACAGCTGCGGAATGTACGACTACAGTGGCCAATTCGCGTTCAAGGTAACTTTCTATCTCTTTTAACACGTTTCCGTGCCTTGTGTACCACCGGTGGTACACGTTAAACTTGATCTTCGGGCCACGTGTACCA